CATCTGCCCGCCTGGTTAGAGCCCGGCCGGGGAGGGGGCGGTGGAATCGCTGGGCGGGAGGGAAAGCCCGAGTCCTGCCGTGCCTGGCCTCTCGTGGTCCCGCGGGGAGGGAGGATGGCGAGGTCGCGATCCGGGCCCGGCTCTCTCGGCCTCAGACCCAGTGGGTGACCTTGAGTGCACAACGCCTCCCTCTGCCTCTGCTTCCCCGTCTGCGCCAAGGCGAATAGTTGGCGCGGCGGCGGCTGCTTCAGGATGCCACACGGCTGCCCCAGGTTGGAGACTTTAAGGGGCTGGGTGCCCAGGGGCCATTCCCTGATCCCAGCCTGCACCCTCCCCTGCCTCAGTTTCCCCCATATCCCGGGACCCCCCCATCCTTCCCCAGCTCTGATTTTTGGGTCTTAGCAGGTGCCCAACTGACGTCCCTTCCCAGCCCGAGCCCTGGGGACAGCGGCTGCAGGACTGCTGAGGGCCTGTGGCAGCATGAAGGCTCCGGTAAGTGGCGCGGAGGGCCGGCGGAGGCCCAGGGGGAACTCTGTCTTGCAGCCCAGAAGGACTGATAGTCACACTTTTTGTGTTTTGTTTTGCTTCTCTCGATGTGGGGGTTCAAGCCCTAGGCCTTGTGGCTGTTGAGCATGTGCTGTGGGTCTGAGCTACAACCCAGCCCGTGGTCACTTCTTTTTTGGGGGGGGGCACCGGGGATTGAACTCGGGTCCTTGCGCTTGCAAAGCAGGCCACCGAACCGCTGAGCTAAATCCCCTGCCCCCGTGGTCACTTCTGACCTCAGATATCAGCCCTGCTCTGTGTGGTCCCAGGCGGTGACATCTGCATTTGGGTTTCAGTTCCTTGCCCGCCTCACCCATAAAATGGAGGTAAGAGGACAAGCAGGCCACCCAGGTGCGAGCTGCCGGAGGGAACTGAAGGTTCATCGCTTGACTGAAAGCTCAGGTCCGGGGCTCTTGGCTTCACTCAGAAGCCCCCCGGCTGTGGAGAGTCCCAGATGTTGGGAGGCACACTTAACCTCTTCTGTCCGAGTCAAGGTCTTAGGGTTTGGTCCCTCCTGGGCAGGGGACTAGATGCTAGGCAGAGCCTGAACAGCAGGCTACAAGGAGGAGACTTTTTTTCTTTTTTTAAGCTGCTGTAGCTTGTGGGCAGAAGAGAAAGGGGGCCTTTGACAGGATATCCCTGGGGGTTGGGTGGGGCTTTTGTCCTGCCTCTGGTTTTCAGAGAGCACCGGCTTCTGGTCCCTAAACCCTGGAGCCCAGAGACACACAGGTGTCGACTGCCATGTCCCAGCACAAAGTAGCAGACCCAGGTCCTGCCCTTTCCCAGGCTGCCAGATCCTGCAAGGCCTGGTGGGGGCTGAGACTGCCTGCAGCCTTGAGCTGGCCCACACTCGGGGGCGGAAGGACTGCCTGGTGCCTGTGGCCTCTGGCCTGTGGTTTCCAGAGGCGGGAACCCCAGACAGCCGCTTTCCGATTATGGAAACTAAACTATGGCTGGAAAGATGCTTCCCTTGGGCCTTTCTACCACCTGGGCTGCTGGCCTACATCCTGATGATCAGCTCAGGGACAGCTGCTGAGTCGGGGTGGGGTGGGGAATGGAGGTGCAGCCACAGGCTGGCCCGGGCTCTGGTGAAAGACTGGGTTCCAGGAGCTGCTAAAGGGGGGGTCTAGATGGGAGGCCAGGTTCCTCATGACCGTCACCTCTCTCAGAGTCGCCTCCTGCTCGTTGTCCTGTGCTCTTTGCTCGGCTCTGCCATCTACATCCTCCTCTGCTGCTGGACCTGCCTGCCCCCGTGCCGGGCCACCTGCCTGGACCGCCACCTCCCTGTGGACTCCAGCCCCACTGCGCCAGGGCCCCTGCGCTTCAGCGGGTACAGCAGCGTGCCTGATGGGAAGGTGGGTCCGCCAGGCAGCATGGCACCAGGGCGTCTGAGCCCAAGCCCTGTGAGGAAACAGCCCTTTGTATGGAGCATAGATGCCTGGCTGCTCGAAGCCGTGACAAGGGGAAATGGAGGTCCGTGGGACAGGGTGGCTGCTTTGGGAGAGACAGACACCACCAGAGCAGCAGACATGTGCATTTGATGCGTCTTTAGATTTGCCTATTCACCCGCCGTCTGTCCAGCAAGTGTGCCCTTGGAGCTTTGTGCTCATGGTGATTCTTCTGTTTTGTTTTGTTTTTCCTCTTTTTCTTTGAGATAGGGTCTCACTATGTAGCCCAGGCTGGCCTTGAACTTAGTGATCTCCTGCTTCAGCCTCCCAAGCACTGGGCTTACAGGCATAAGGTAGCATGCCCTGTTTTTCTCTTTCTTTCTTTCTTTTTTTTTTTTTTTTTTTTCACCAGGGATCGAACTCAGGACCTTGTGCTTGTGAGGCTGGCACAGTGCATGCCCTGTTTTTCTTCAGAAAAGTAGGAAATCTGGATTTTTTTTTAATCGAACTCGGGCCCTTGCGCTTTCTAGGCAGACAGCAGAACCACTGAGTCAAATCCCTGGCCTGGAAATCCAGATTTTAAATGTCAGGAGTCTTTTTTATTTTTTCTGTTCTGGAGATTTCTTAGGCTGAGGCTGAGGAGGATTGCATAAGTTCAAAGCCAGCCTGAACTATGTAGCTAGTTCCTGTCCAAAAGAACAAAAAAACAGAGCCATATAAATCCTTCTGCCTCAGCCTCCCAGACTAGTGGTGTGATAGTCATGCATCACTCTGCTTGGCCAAAAGGGCCAACCTGATGTGTTAGGGGTCAATGAGAAACCTTTAAAGACCCTGTGAAGATGCACATGCCACCTGTTGGGGTCCATGGTAACCTAAACAGAACAGTTTGTCAGTGCAGGCCAAACTGGGGGAAATAAGGGAGGCTTGTTCTTTTTCACTGGCATGTGGACAAGTGGGTCTGTGTGTCCTTAAATCAACATTTAGTCAAATTTGAAATGCCTGCTAGTAGGGCAGTACACTGCCCCTTCTGGATCGGAATCTGTGTCCCATGTCTTTGACACACTTGGGCAAACCCGAGTTCCTGGAAGGCACAGAGGTCTGGGTCACTTCCTGAACAGGATGTGGCTCACTGGCTGCCTTTGCCTCTTGGGGGATAATGAGATGGCTTCGGGCCCTTGTTGTGCCCAAGGTCTGTGCCACCCACTCCCTGGGGCACATTTCTTAGCTACTTTTCTTGTTGCTGAGACAAAATAGCCAATACCCACAGTTAAGGGAGGAAAGGTTTACTTGGTTTACAGTTTGTAGGGTGGCATGGCAGAGGGGTATCGCAGGAGAAATTGTTCATGGTAGGCAAAAGATAGCAAAAATAAGCAAGCAACAAGCTAGTTTCTATTCAAGCTACACCTTAATCCTAGCATTACACCATGAATCAATCCTGGATCACACTGTACCTACAGCCACCTCTGAAAAAGCCCCATCTATGACTGCACAAGGCTTTGGGGGGACATCAGACACAACCATAACATTAAAAACGTCTTTTTTTTTTTTTTTTT